CGAGGCACGTTTCCAGGGGTTGCGACCGCAGGTCAAGTTGACAAGGATAACACCTAGACTCCACACATCATTGGGTGCCGACTCATAGCACGACATGGGACGGGGGTTTGGTTGCTGGCATTCTTTTGGTATCATCTTCGTCAGTGAATGTTTCATCGGAATGTTTCGGGTGGGGGAGGGAAGGGCATTCACGCACCTGGTGACATGTAGAAAGTGGATCCGCAACCAAAATCCGACGTCACGTAGTCCGTAGTAGCCAGGCCAAAGTCAGCAAGCTTGACCGTCAAGCCCTGGTCCGTTACCAAGATGTTTTCCGGCTTGAGGTCCCGATGGTAGATTCCCAGGGAGTGGCAGAACTGGACGGCATCCAGGATTTGAAGGAAGACACGCTTGACCAAGGGGTCATTGCCCACGAAGTTGCCCTTTTCAGTAATACTGGAGAAGAGATCGCCCTCGGGACAAAACTCAATCACCACGTAGGTGCAATCGACGGAATCCATAATGCGGACCAGGGAAACCACATTGGGATGTTGGCTGGCCAGATGGTGGAGCTTGATTTCCCGCTGCTGGAACTTGAGCTGCCGGGGATCCAGCCCGGTCTTGTTGAGGGCCTTGACAGCATACAGAACATTGGTATGAATGTCGACGGCCGTGTACACCACTCCATAGGCACCGACGCCCAGGATGCTGGTGAGTTCCAGACGGTTGGCCAAGAGAAATCCTAGACGGTCCTCCGGAGCATAGCAACGGGAGATGGGCGGAGAAGGAGGCGGAGTGGGGGGCATGGGGGGATACATGCCGTACAGGGGAGAAGGGGGTAGCATGAGCATGAGGGAAGGTAGGTTTTGGGATAGGCTTTTTTCTTGCTTTGGTGGATTGGTGACAGGCAAGTAAGACTCGAAGCACGCACCGGCACTTGAGTCTTTCCCTGAAGAAGAGTATAGTATTGGAAGGGAGGGGAAAGGAGAGGGAAGGAGGGGGAGGTAAATGGTAGTTTCTTGTCTCAACGGCTGTAAGGGGTGGTTTGTTGATATAAATCCTGGGGGTCCAAAATCCGGTGGCGGGTTTCAGGTAGTCATCCAAACCAGTGAGCAAAGTACGGGATAGCCGGGAGTGAGAGAGAAGAGCACCAAAGGAGAGTCGCCAGTCTTTCCTTAATAGATAATTTTTTTTTTTCACTTGTTCAAGGAGCCATTGAAGGAATGCAGTTGATCAACTTGGATAAGCAATCAGATCCTAGGGAATGTCCAACGGAAGGCCGTGGGTAAGATGGTGATGGTAGTAGTAGTAGTTGTGGTGGTTGAAGATAAGTAGTAGCGGGAGTGGCAGTGGCAGTTGGTGGTGGTATTATTTTTGGCTTATTGGGGGAGAGGGGGGCAAGTAGTCCAGGGAAGTTGCACAGCCAGGGATGGATGCAGTTCCAGGGAAGCAGTCAGATGGGGGCCAGCGGATAGTTAATATGGCCGTGGGGGGGAGAGGGAAAGGGAAGGGAAGGGGGGTGGAGGGTATAAAAGGGGGACGTGCAGTGAAGGATAAGGGGGGGCAAATGATATATATGCAAAACAAGTCCCAGAAACTATATCACGAAGAAGAGGAAGAGAAGCCGAAGAAAGAAGAAAAGCAACAAAATGCAAGACGAAGATCAATGACTTGACGGGAACTTGTCGGAAAGAGGAAAAACGATTAAACACGCCAGAGAGGACGAGGACGGAATAGGAAGAGACAGGAGAGGAGGAAGAGAGGTGGAAGTATAGGGATTAAGACGGAGCGCGGAAGGCCAGGTAAAAATAAGTAAAAATAAGATTAATATGGCGATGATGGACGGGGCGGCGATAAGAGAGAAGAGACTCTCAGTCCAGAGAGTCAGAATGAGGGAGCCAGCCAGATCCATCCATTCTCAGCAGGAAATGGCGAAAAATAGGGACCCAGAAAATCCCCAGGGACCCAAAAAAACAACACCACCACCACCACCAGAAGAAATTAAAATAAGTCGAAAGTAAAATAAAAATATTATTATTATTCCCTTAAGAGAAAATCAGAAAATAATAACACCTAATAAATTAAATTCGATGAAATAATAATTATCCTCCCTAATAAATTCATAATAGTAACACCTAATCATCATCATCATCAGCAGCATCATCATCACCCATCCCATAACACGAATAATAATCCTTCCTCCCCAACTGCCACTAAGCCTGGGACCACTCGTGGCCAGAGCCACTCACTCCATTCTCATCTCCATGAGCAAGAACTGAACTGGAACTTACTGAAAGTCTCCAGGCTGCATTACCTCAGAGGCTGCAGCCCACGAATCATCATCTCGAAAAAGCTGGCCGACCATTCAGAACTTATTACACCCAGGTGACCGACCGACCGACCGCCCCCCCCTTCTCTCTCCTACACCATCCACCATCCACCATCCACCGTCCATCCATCCATGCCCCCTAAAACTCACTATGTAACTCCCCCGTTACATCTTCAGCCTGGAGACCAGAAACCCAAACCTCGCCACCGGATTGGTCGGGGGCATGCGTCCAGCTGGGTGTGGAGTTGGTCAACTCCACCCAACCAACCCAAGCTAACATGTATGATGCTTAGACTAGTTTAGGGTCCAGCTACAAATAGGAAAGGTGTATGTGAGAGTGTGTGTGGATGAGCAAAGACGGAACCAAACCAAACTGCCTTTCCCTCTCCCCCCACTAGAGACACTGACCGACAAGGCCGCGACCGCGAGATCCAGGCGGCGAGAAACGAAACCAAGAATAACTAGCACGCACCCGCGGCGTAAGCTGAGGAGAGGAGGCCTAGGAGGATCCATGAATCGACATCATTAGTATCCACTGGGTCCTGACTAACCAGCTTTGTTTCTTGCCATACCAAAGTAGTAGATTAGATACCACGCGATTGCTGTATTTTCTCCACACACACACATACACACACACAAACACACACTGTGACTGATTGAGTTGACAGACTATTTCTAACTAAGGGGGGATTGTCCACGATCTGGTAAGGCGAGAAAAGAGACACCTCTCCTTACTAGTCGGGTGGATCTGATGACTAGATACTGTGCTATGGAGGGGGTGGGTGGAAAGGGAAAGGAGGGCTAAATGGGCACGAGTGCGTGGAGGGAAACCGAAACTCTGGCAGCACCGCACACCCCCTTTCAGTTTAGTTAGTTAGGAGGGTCACAAAGGCTCTAAGCTTGGATGCCTGGACCTGACCCTACAATATACAGAGGGTGTAGTATAGTAGTACGTAGTGGCCTGAAATCTATCCACCCACCCATCCATCCCTACAGTACAGCCTACATGATAGTAATAATAGATAATAATCCTCAAATGGAGTGAGACTCAATGAATAGGAAGAGCTCCGCGCAGACCCGATGACCAGACGGCCAATGCCGCCGCCGTCGTGGCTGTACGGGTTTAGTGTCCGGTCCCCAACCAGGCAAAAAGCAAAAAACAAAAAAAAGAAAGGTTCTATCCCCAAAGATCGACGATCAGAGAAAGTTGGAATGGAAACCTGAGAAGGCAACGCAGAACAGACCGCAACTGAAGAGCGATGATTTGCTGCCTCCAGCACACAGTGCTAGGTAATGTTTGTGCCAGGAGGCGGTGTGAGTGTAGGAGGGCGAGTTGTGACAGGTCATTCGGGTGCAGATTGGCTCCACTCACACTTTTTCAATGCCAATGCTGTTCCAGGCTGGCCCGAGCACATCCCCTCGTCATTGGCTGAATGCAGTAACGCCCCAGGGAAGATAAATCCGCCTCCCCGTGGGTGTGATTGGTTTGAAGAAAGTAGTTCAGTCAGATGAACTGGGATGGAAGTGCTGGAAGGATTGCCTGCCATGGAGAGATGGGCGGCATTATTACTAGGTCCAGCCTCTTTTGGGGAGGAAGGTGGTGATGGTGGTGGTGGAAGGGAGGGGGGGGGGGGGAAACGCACAAATGAGCTCATGGCCACACACATACACACGCGCCCGTCTACTCCGTATATGCCACTGGGTCTGTTGGTTGATTGTATCAGCGCCCGGATACTCCATCGTTGCCATTGCCTGGGCGGCTGTGTGGTAGGAATGAGGCTGGCAAGCTGGATGACTGGCTGAAAGGGACCCGGATGGGGAAGGGGGAGGAGGAGGTTCCTGTGCCCCACATTTACTATACTGTCCGTGTCTGAAGTTCTAAACTCTCAGACTCAAGAAATGCAGGGCGGGAAGATGGAAAATTAGTTGAAACTTCCCAGGGCGGTTTATTATTATTATTATGATGATGATTATGATTTTTGTTTGACAGGGCACGATCCATCTCGCCCATCTCCATCTCTGACGGTTAGCTATCTAACTATCGATTTACTCCGTAACTTGCTTCACAACGGTATACGCGCTGGATCGTCAGTGTGGTGAAACGTCGAAAACACCTCCCCCGATCAACGGTGGTTCTTGCAATCTCACCGGGCGTTCGGACGGTAAAAGCGAGTAGTCTCTACGGAGTAGAAGGTTGGCTGTATAGGCTGTTCTCTGTACTGCCAGCTCATGACTCCACCAGCAACATCTCTCCTCTCCTACAGTTGGTTACTGGGAGATGAGTGATGCTGGGACAAAGTTTTGAGCAAAAGAGGTCAACGATTGTTAATCTGACCATGGAGTTCTAGGCTTATGGACCACAAGCGGGTACAACAGTATGACTAAACGAGGAGGGGGGCAACGAAGGGGAGGATTGCAGGACGAAACGAATTGGATGTTCTATACGAAACGGTCGAGCCAAACGGAGATGGCTGGATGGGGCACCATCCAACTTCCCGCTGCGTGTTGTGAATGACGGGCAGCCTGACTGACTTGACTTGACTTGACTCCATAGTCAGTACGGAGTAGTTAGTCTAGTCTACTGTTTAGTGGTCTAGTTACTAACTCATCGCCTTGCCAGACAACAACGGTGCGACAGTTGCCAGATTCTGCTTTTTCTCCGGCCACCAACTTCTTTCTTTCCACCCAAAAAAGAAGAACATCTGGTTTAGATCTCACCGTCTTTTTGAAGCATCGTCAACCCGTTGGCTAGCAGCGAGGACATTCATCCAACACATGAGCGAACTATTGCCAGAACTAAAGTGTAAAGTTCAGCAAGCAGACGCCTTCTGAATCAACCCGACCCCCTCCGAACTATACTGACTGACTGACTGACCAGCAAGCAGGCAAGCAAGCAAGCAAGATGGGATGTGTTAATGCCAATCCATGCTAAACTAAACTTCCTAGTAAGTAGGTCAAAGTTGCAACCGAACTCAATAAAGTGAGGCAATGACGCCGGGGCCAATGACAGCCCAGTTCGTCCGCTTCGAGAATTCCCGAATGACAGCCATGGCGCTTGATGATTGGCTGCTTTGCTGCCACGTTTGCTGTCCGAAGCCTTGGCGGTGGGGATCTCTCGGGCAGCAGTCTCCAATGATAACTGGCTCAAGTTGTCCATGCTTTCTTTTTTGCCCGCATCCATTCCAACTTCGAACTATTCTTGATATGGTAGGTCCTGCACAGACCATGAGCAATAAAAAGAATTAGCCTAGTTTGCGGTTTGCCCGGGGCGTTGTTGCTTCATTCTTTGGCCTGGTAGGCTGCCTGCCTACTACTCCTAGTACTATACTATATTACTATGATTGCAAGGCTTGCAGGGTCATGCACCTTCGTCTATATAAAGCAGTTCCGATCCACAGCCCCATTTTCTCCAATAACTATATCAGCCAAAGACATTGTGTAATAGAGACAGACACACCGGATAATAAAGAAAAAGAACTATCTACGGAGTACACTTGGCTCATAGTAATAGTTCTAATTGTAATCACACACACACAATGAGCCTTCCCACGGAGTATTCCCAAAGTAACCAACTACTCCGTATTTTCCCTTCGCCTTACTTACCCGCTCAAGAGATAGAACAGACCCCTGCTGTCTTTTGAGACATGTACTAAAAGACAACCCCATAATTACGGAGTGATGCCTTAGTATAATTGCTTTTTATAACTACGTAAAGAGTAGTCTAGTCTAGGTAAGTTGAGCCCTGAAATTACGATCAGCGTTTGAAACCACGACTATTTGGACTCGAACCTACTTTTACGGAGCATCACAGCGCTTAACAGGTAACGATGTTGATAGTGGATACACAGTAGGCTGTGATGATGAAGTTCATGTACAAGCATGGCATGGCATGGCATGGCATGAAAAGTGGCTATGTAAGCAGGTAAGCAAGCAAGTAAACTTTTTTTTTATCCTGCTTGCATGCTGTACCTTAGTACATTAAAATATGGACTGACTCCATCACTATGCTTGCTGTGTGATGAGTAGTTTTAACTCTTTTTCTTTTTTTCTTTTGTACTCCATACTTAAGGGTACATAGAACATGTGTTTTATGTATGTATGTACTGTGATGCGGTGCAGATATGCATATTTGCCTTGTTTTCTTGCTAATATCTAGCTATCACAATCTTGTTCAATGGTATAGTTTTTCTAAAACTATGAACTATAAAGTGTTATAATTTTCAGTAAAAGCAAACATTTATATACTCTTGAGTAAAGAATTAAATAAGTAGATATCCCGAACAAACACAACACAATATATCTCCATATCTACAAAGCACATCCCCCCCCCGGGTCGAAGATACCAAGTAAGTAATAAGAATAATAGTATACTTCTGACCCATCCAAAGACCAACCAGATACATCTATTACGACAGAACATCGGTACTATATAATGGTGTTCACATATCACATCACATCCATCACCAACCATACTGTAAGTAGAAACCCCGATGGATGAAAAACTGAAACCAATAAATGACCTCATTAATTTTCCGATTTCGCCTACCGCCATTATAGCCTCATAAGAAGCAAAAAGCAAAAGTATTACCGTATAGAGTATCAATCTACGGAGTACTTCCCTACAACTAATGATCCATATCCCCTTTTTCCATTACTTTACCATTATTTTTCCGCTTACGAAGTAATTAACTAACAAATATTAATCATCACCATATTATCCTACAGTATACTTCCCCCCCTCCCTTCTTGACAATAACTTATCCACGGTATACTCAACAGTAGCTGAAAGGCGCGGGGAAAAACAAAAGCGGCAACTCATCGGATTTACCATATCAAGTAAAGTACAAAAGTAAGTAACATAAGTGGACCGGGATCTCATCCCGTCTGGTTAGTCAAATCATCAACCGATCGATCAATCAATCAATCAGTCAATCAATCAATCAACAAGTCCCGTCCCATGGAACCAAACCGTTAACCCTCAGCTGAAGCCCAGTGGGTAAAGTACTAGGTGGCTGCCTGGACGTTGTGGAGCACACGCGGCAAGTAGCACAGCTGAGCCTCATTTATCATCATCATCGTCGTCGAATGATTCATCAATTTGAAGACGTTCTAGAAAGTGCTAGGACCCGCGGTTAGAACTACGTACTAGGCTTCTGGGGGTGGCACGCGTCGTAGTCGTCCGGGTTTGCCTCCCGCCGGGATCACGGATCATGGATGGATCCATGGGGCGTCGTTCTACTATTCCGTAGCTGGGTTTGCCACTGGGCGTGCCCCGGATCCAAACATCCCCATTCATCCGCATTACTCAGTATGGGAAAAATGATCGGATGTGATCCTCGCTCTTTGTTTACTGGCGAGTCATCTTGTCATACTTTTATACCAGTGGCAACGATCTTCGGTGGATATATTTCTCATTTGAGAGGTGAAAAAGTACTACTATGACATAATATGTACAACGGATGGGCCCGCAATCATCTCAAAAAAGTATTACTCCAGATAAGAAAAATAGAAGGAAAGTGATTACGCCTTGGGTCGAGACAGAAACGGATGTTTCAACGCCTCTGTCGGCGTGCACCGCTTCTCCGGATTGAGGTTCAAGCATCGGTCCAGTAGATCCACAAATTGGGCCAGCTCTTTTGCCTCACTGTCTGTCATGCCTCGTGTCTCCTTGCCTCCCATTAGCCGGGTCTTCAAGTCCCGCGTCGGCTTCTTGAAGTCCAGCACCCGCGTGACTGGTCGCCCGGTGATCTTATCCTCTTCCATGCTCAAGAAGTTAAGCATGTCATCGAAGTGCATCGGCGTCAGCGACCCTCGCCGCAGCAGCTTCGGCGGATATTTGCCACGGCATTCCATGATGGATCGTAGCATCTGGTTGTTGTTGCGCCCCGTAAACAGGATCTTGCCCGTATACAGCTCGAACAACGTGCAGCCGATCGACCACACATCAATAGCGTGGTCGTACGGGATTCCCAAAATAATCTCGGGCGCCCGATAGAATCGACTCACAAGATACGGTGTGATCTCGTTCTCCGTCGCCGGGGATGCCGATCCCAGGTCGCACACTTTCAGGATGTTGCGTTGCTCGTTGACCAACAGGTTGTCGGGCTTGAGGTCCGCATGGAGAATGTTGCACTTCCGCATCAAGCTGAGTCCCAGGAATATCTGCTGGGCATACGCCCGGATGGCTCGCAGGTTCAAACCAACGTCGCGGCCGAATTTCTTCAAGACCTCCCGCAGGTTCATGCTCAGGTTCTCAAACACCATACACAGATGTCCCTTGTGGTCAAAGTACCGCTCAAACTTGATGACATGCTTCTTGTCCTCCGGATCGGCCTCGTGGAGCTGCTCCAGGATGCCGATTTCCTTCATGCCCGCCTTTTTCATCGTGTCATTCTGGCGGATGATCTTGATGGCAACCAAGCCACCAGTTTTGGAGTCGGTGGCGCGTACGACCGACGAGAACATGCCTTTGCCTAGATTCTGCTGCACATGGTATCGCCCGTTAATCAACTCACCCAGCCGGACATTGTAATATCCTTCCGGGTCGTCCCAGTTGTCCATCATACTGATGTCGAGCTCCTTGGGCTGCGGGACTGCCGACTTAGCCGATGCATGCGTTGGCTGCGTAGTCTCCTGCGTGTCTTCAGCGAACATATCATCGTCATCATCCTCTGCGAACATGTCATAAGGATCCTTCGCTTTGGGCTGAGGCGGGGGTGGAACAGCATCGGGGAGCAGGATGTCCTGTCGGGAGGTTTGCGTCTCGTCATAAGACGCCGCAGACAACTCCTCATTAGTACCACGACTATCATGCCTCTCCCTCTCCGCTTTCATGTCCAAGGTAGGGTCGTAGTCTGCTGCAGACGGACCATCTTTGTCCACACCGTTTACCGGTGCGCCGTTCATTAAATCAGCATCTTTGCCTACTTTGAAGTCAGAGAACAACTCCCCTGGACTATCAGCAGGTGTCTCGGGTGCTGATAGCGGTGCTGCTTCTGTAAATGAACATGCTGTTAGCTAAAAATTTACTCACTTCGACACGATCTAGCGGTCAGAATCTTACCAGAAACAGCACTGCCTGATGCGGCAGTATCAGCACCCGGAGTGGACGAGTCTCTACTACTTTCACCGATGTGTAGTGCCTGCAAACGCATCGGGGTAGCCTGGCCGCGGTATTTAGCCCGAATTGCTTCACGTCGTTTGCGACGGGCCTCTAACTGGGCTGCTTCGTCAAGGGGTTCGGCGGGGGGTTGTTCATCGTGAGTCTCGGATGCCCCATTCACACTAAAGTCATTAGCCTGGTACCATCTACCGACTGGGAAAACCTACCTATCAACATGGGCATGTAAGGTGGCAGAAGCTTGCTGCACCTGAGGTTTCTGAGTTTCAGCATCTTGCTTAATACCTTGAGCGACGACTGGAGTGTTCCCTCGCTCGCTCACTGACTGTTCAATAGACGCCCCCCTCCTGCGATTCCGAGAGGCAGTACTTTCATCTCTTGGAGACTCCCACTCATCCCCGGAATACTGCTTAGGCTTGCGAACTTCGCGGTACGGCGACCGGCTCCGCGTGCGCGCGCGTTTCTCTCTGCGGCGATCAGATTCGTCGCTATATCGAAGGCCATCGCCGTAGTGATCTTCACGGTCGTAGTCATAATAGGAAGGCCGTGCGCGTCGGTCGGGCTGACCTCGTCCGTAGTACCGGCTGTCATCGTATCGGGATCCGACGCGTCGGGGCGGTTCGTGTCGGTATCGCCGGTCGTCATGGTCATAATCATCATAGTCATCGTCCCGGCGCCGCTTGTAGCCTCTGTAATCGCGGTAGGGAGAACGGGACCGCGTACGCGAGGTCGACCTGGTCCTGGTCCTCGATCTCCGGTGGCGTGGTGATCTGCTCCGCGTCACGGATGCAGGACTAGCTCTGGTGGGACGGTCAACGATGCTGCCATTAAGAGGAAGTTTCGACGTAGTTGCCTTCGTCTCTGAACCTGATTCGATGATCTCACCCTCTGAAGGGGTCGATGGAGACCTCGACCTGCGGGATGCCATGGTGGTATATTACCAGGCTCACTCAGGGATCTTTAGGATGAACTAAAAAAAAGAGGTATGGGCTGGCTCTTCGAGCAGCTTCGGAGACAAAAGAAGTAAGTCCCGGTTAGCAAGAACGTTTCCGACGAAGCGTTATTTGGGAGGAGTGTATTGAGAAAGTCCAACCGGCTGAAAATGCCACGGCCCTTGCCCTTGACTACCGTCTCAAGAAAGCATGAGACAGTGTTTTGATGTGTGATTTTGTTTGAAGTTCCCTCAGATCCTTTTGTATTTAAAAAAAGTAGACCGACAGAACCACGTAGATGGGATGAAGGATGGAAAGTCTGGATGGATGGAAACTTGGCAGCGATATGAGGTGCGAGAGAAGCCAAAGTTGAGATGGGGAGATGCCCGGGCGGTGAGGGGCGGCCGCCGAAGATTTTGCGGCTAAGCGGAAAGGAGACTAGTGGCTCCCCGCGGGACAATCGCTGATAAGCAGCCGATTTTTTGCGACGCCGCGATTCTTCCCCTCCTCCAAGATTCGCAGCAAGCGCCACTTCACATCCTCTTCCTCCACGCTCACTACACTTTTATTCTACGACACAATGGGTGGTCAAAGCAGAGAAGGTATGATGCCGTCACTATTCAGAAGCTCATCTTACATAGCCTCATACTGATCTGCTTTCTGCACAGGTGGCAAGGTCAAGCCTCTCAAGTCCGCCAAGAAGGACAAGAAGGAGCTGGATGAGGATGACCTCGCCTTCCAGGCCAAGAAGAGAGCTGGTATGTATCCCATTGCATGCACACTCGTGGCAGTCACTATTGCTAATCATTTTGGGCATCTGCAGAGGAGAAGGCTAAGAAGGAACTTATGGAGAAGGCCAAGGGCAAGGGCCCCCTGAACACTGGTAACCAGGGCATCAAGAAGTCTGGAAAGAAATAGTCGGACTGTGGGCTTGAGGTTCTATATGTCCTCACGAGATACAACGAGCTACGACCCACAACTCGGTGTGGAGTATTTGCATATGCATTGAGCACTAATACCATGAGCAACCACTTTTTCTTTGACACCTTTTCATTTCATACAATAATGCACCTTCTGCTATTCACCAGAAATATCCATACCGTCAATCACCAGGATCAGCTTCATGAATAGGAGCCCCAACAAGCGGAAAGGGTATCATTGCGCACGGCACAGTAAGAAGATAGCCCACTGGCATCGTTAGGAAGAAGTAAACATAAACCCGCTGTATGCTGCCCAAGGGTATTCGCAACGCTCAAAGACACGCCTCGGCCAATATCCAGCAGCAGGAAAATCTGACCAAAGGATGGTGAAAAAGGAAATGAACAAAATGACAATGATAGAGGATTCAAGGGAAGGGAAGGGAATCCTGAAAGATACCCAGAAAAGAAATCCAACGGCCACAGCCGATGCTCTTCAACTAGTCACTCGTTTGACCCACAAGCTACCCCCACTATACCCAAGATCGTCGCGCTTTTTCCAAGCCCTGAACAGCTTCAGACCAATTTCGTGCTCTTCCCGCTTGATCTCCGCAAGTTCTGTTTCAAGGCTGGCCACCGTCCGCTTCACCTCGTCCCTGGCTGCCATGTCGTAGGCAACGGAGCTCGGCTGGATCACTTGAGTCAATTCATAGATGATTGTTTCGACGTTCGCTCTCCGGCGCGTCAGGGTGTCTCTGCGAGCCTCCAACGTCTGGATGCGGTTCTGGATCTGTTCTTCTGGTGTAAGTTGTAACTGATCCTTAGGCGGTTCGGCTTCAGCGGCCTGCGCCGGCGTGGGCTTTCTGGTGGGCTTTTTTGCTGGCGCAACGTTACTAGGTACAGGTCGTTTCCGAGACATGATTGATGGTACGTGTTCAGTGGACTGAGATGCGGCATCTATGCTACCGCGCGCACTTCCAACGGAGCTGGCGGTTTCTGTAGGTTCATATGTAGTAGCGCTGAACCGGCTTGCAGGTTGTTCGGCCGCGTCATCAGTTGTCAACTTCAAATCAGCCAACGATGACTCCCAGTCATCTGGTGCGGGGAAATCAACACGGGGCGGCTCAGCACTGCTGACAATGCTCGGAGCCGGTTCCTCCGGGGTTCGTGCTCGGAGATTATCCCTGCTAGTTGTGTGCTTAACCTTCGACGACGCCTTTGGCTTGGAATCGCCAGCCGTAATCGTGGTCACAACAGTCGGAACAAACCCGCAAGTGGCATAATCGGGTGTCGTACTGTACGCTTCTCTTAGTCGATCGTTGCTCCGGGACATGTTCACACGTGATGGTGATCTAGCCCTCGGCATTTCCTGGATGGGGGCTATTATCGGGGCTCGTCCACTAGGTCCCTTCCAGGGCTCGCGCACGCCAGGTGGGAGCGTGTTCTCAGTTTTGGACGGCCGGGTGCGTGGCTCCGATAGTTTCCTTTTTGAATTCAGATGATCCTTGCTCCAGCCAAAGATATTCGAGCTATGGGATGAGGTAGGCTTTGCCGAGATTTCGGTGCGGAACGAAACGCTGCCGGGAGTTGTCTGGCCAGACCTGCTCAAGTCGCTGGGCGTCAGCTCGCCAGATAAGTCGTCCCATCTGGATGTCTGGCTTCTTGAGGACTTGGGCGTTTGTAGCCGGTCTGCCTGCGAGTTAGCGCGCTTGCGCAAGACGGGCAATTGGCTAGCGAATTTGGCGTTCTCCTTGTTCTCCATGGATCCGGCGCTCGAATCGAGCATGAAGTCGTCTTCTATGGGTGACACACGCGAGCTGTCGCGACTCGCCGGTGGGCGACCGAAGGAGATGGGGGAATCAGGGGGCGAAATGCTTGCACTTTCGGGTCGATATAGGTCGTGAGTGAAGGTGGTTGGGTTTAGGAGATAATTATGCGATAGGCTAGCGGAACGCTGGTGAGGCTGGTCACCAGTTGCAATGTCCAGGGCATGGGAGGTGGACGCGACCCGTCGACCCGTGTCGGGGCGTTGCGCAGGAAGGAGCGAGTCCGTAGGGTTGCTAGAAGGGCGTTAGAGAACACAGCTACTTTGATTACAGTCAGGAGAGAAGGATGAAACGACTTACCGGGCAATTGCGGGACGAGACTTGGGATGGGCGAGTGTGTCACTGCTCTGGTTGCCCGGAGCGGGGGACAGAGACCGGTAGACACTATCATCTAGGGTCTTGTCGATCAGTGTAGGCTTCCCGATCACGGGCTTCCGCGAACGATGGAAAGACATTTTCCCCCACATGTTGCCGGTTGGACTCTTGGGTGTTAAAATTGGGTGAAATTGATGGAAGATCGGTGGTTAAACTGATTCAACAAATAAGTATCAGACCCCGCGAGGCTAGAACGAAAGTCCAAAATTCCGGAATGTGACCCGTATCTCAACGCATACCTTTAAAGTATTTCTAGATCGTGGTGGAATGGCTAAGCAAGGAGTGACACAAAACGGTCGCTGATTAACATAGAAGAAGAAAAAAAAGCAATATAGCTATGGCGAAAAGAGGTGGGTTTCATGCAGCTGACATGCCTGCACGTCAGAGAGTAGAGCTGAATTGGAGCACAGCAGAACGAAGGGGAGGGAGAGAGAAAGAGAGAAGACGACGAAGGAGGAGAACTAGTGGAGAAGAGCGAGTGAACAATTAATTAAAGGGCTAAAGCTGGTGTTATACTACTACAGATAAGACCAGACAATTGGCTTGAAAGAAAAGAAAAATAAATTAAAAAACGCACGCAGATGCAAAAGCGAGGGGAAAGAATGGAGAAAGAAGAAAGAAAGAAAGAAAAAGAAAGAAACACAGCTAATCAAGGTGGTCCTCTCTTTGAAAGCAAACCGGTTTGCCTGCGTGCGAGAAGCGGAGAAAAGAGTAAGTAGGTGAATAGCAAAGAAGGGATGAAATTTAATGAATGAGAAATGAATGGAGCACGGAGAAGCAAGTGACAGCAGCAGCAGCAGCAGCACTAGCACTACTTGGATGCAGCCGGGAGGATCCTGTTTCAGAGTCAGTCGGTTAGTCGAGGATGGTCCTTCAATTCTAATTTTAACTGCCCCCATGGTCGAGAGCAGCCCAACGCTCCATCGCAATTAGAGGAGCATCCCAATATTAGTATAATTTACTTCTAGTATAGTGAACCAGACAGCAATCTCCGTCGCACAGACTCTCAAACGGTCTCCCAGGAATGGTCTGATCAGTTGATCTTCTCTGCCTTAAGATTCTTTGGGTTAATCGTCCGAGCAAAAGAGTATCCACAAACAACAGTAGGAACTAGTTACTTAGTAACTACTTAGTAACGGAGTAAACAAACACTTGAATAGATTTTCCTGCCTGATCCATCAGGCATGCACAAGCATACTATCACGTGTCGATAACCCGTGCCGTACCGTATCAGTACCGTAATCGGCCCTGTTCTCCGCACTCATTCCCCCTTCACTGATTGGCTCTTCTCCTCAACTTCGTCATGATCGCGAGTTCCGCGGCTCTCCCAACTCCAGCATCATCATCATCTTCATTCCATCACTTTCTCTATCCCCCTCACCTAACGCTGACACACATCTATACCACAAATCTTCACTCACTCAGCTCACCATGTCTACCCCAGGTAAATCCCTAAATCTACATCAACCCCTAAACCAACAATAACAATTAAACAAACTAACTAACCCCATCCCTCCAGACGAAGCTGTCCCGCAGCCCGCCGAAGTGTCAGTTGCTTACTATCCTCACCCACCACCAACATATCACCCTCTCCTCTCCTCTACTCTCCCCAAGGAATCCCCCTCACTAACAAATAAACAACAATCCAGCATGACAATCGCCACCCCCATTAACCTCATCCTCCTCTCCCTCTTCGTCATCCTCGTCTACCTCCAACTCCGTCCCAAAGCCCCCGTCAGCCTCCCCAAGGGTCCTCCCCCCGTCGTCTTCCGCACCTTCACCCCAACCACGCTCCTCCCCTTCAACGGCGAGAACGACGCTCCCGTCTACCTCGCTGTCCGTGGTCGTGTCTTCGACGTGACTCCCGGCAGGAACTTTTACGGACCGGTACATACACACCTTCCCTAAAACCCCATTCCCCTCATTTGAAGGAAGAAAGAAAGAAACAATAGGCGACTAATGAAGATCTATGAAACGTGCAGGGCGGACCCTACGAGAACTTCGCCGGTCGCGACGCATCCCGCGGTCTGGCATGCCAGAGCTTCGACGAGGAAATGCTCACCAAGGATCTGAAGGGTCCGTTGGATGATCTGAAGGATTTGGATAACGAGCAGTTGGAGAATCTGCAGTCGTGGGAGGAGCGCTTCTCTGAGAAGTATTTGGTCGTTGGGAAGTTGGTGGCTGAGGGAGATCCGGAGGCTAAGAATGCTTGATTTGATATTTTTATTTTTCTTATGATGATGGTGTGGGTTTGATGGGTTGGGATTGTGGGTTGAGTTGGGCGGAGAGGGCTAGATAGATGTACGTTTAAATGGTTCAAGGGACTGAGGATATTTATCATCGAGTTCGGTATAAGCGATTCATATCCTATTTTAAAAGCATTGGTATTTTAGTCATGCTGATTGAGGATCAATTCAATTCAGTTCAGTGGTTTCGGAATCTTAAGCTGACATTGATAAGAGCGGGTTATTGTACACTTGGTTGCATTGTTCGATTTGAAATATCAATAACTACTAAAATTTATTACTCGAAGAATTCCACTTCCAACTATTCATCCTTCCCTTCCGTCCCCAACTTTTGCACCAGACAGGATTCAGTGAATATCGTAGACCGCCTCCACCCCCTCTCAAGACCCGCAGTCATTATGTGATGTCATAACGTCGTATCCCTTGAACAACGCCCCCCGTAAACATGAATAACATCGAAGGAAAAGTATCAGAAGTCGGGTTGGTCTGTTTACAGTTCGACCCGCATGCTCGAGGCAGCATGGGATCCCTGCGCCTTGGCTTTCTCAGCAGCCTCAGAACCCTTAGCCTTGGCCTTCTCTGCGGCTTCCTGGCCCTGGGCACGACCACTGGACGCGCCAATCTTCAACTGGTCTAGAAGCCACTGGCCGGCCTCTTGCATCTTAGCGAAGATAGTGCCCGAGGGGGACGAAGTGCCGTAGCGGAAGTACTCGGCATTGCGACGAGCAGCGGCGCGAAGTTCGTTGATTCCGGAGCCCTGGTAGACCGGGATGCCGTACGAGTCAAGGTAAGCCTTGAGGTCGGAATGAGTCCAGGTGTCGAAGGCGGAACCCTTGGCTGCATCAGTTGCCTGCGCCATGTAGGAAGTGGCCGATGCGAAGTTTGCACCACCGGTCTTGGATGCTTTGGCGTAGTTTTCCTGGGCTTGCTTGACAAGCTCATCGCGAGTGATGTCGGCGCGGTGGGCTGCCTTGGCGTTCATAGAGGACAGGTACTTCCTAGATATATGTTAGGATATTCATATCAGGATATTGAAGTCAAAGGAAACATACTTCAGGTGCTCGGTGTCCCAGGTATCAAAGGTCCAAGCAGACCAGCCAGTGGCTGCCTTGTGGCTGTGGAGCCGCACCTTAGCAAGGAGCTCGTCACGCTTGCCGCTCTGAGGCACAGGGACTCCGCGCGCATCGAGAAAAGCCTTCAAACGCGAATCGGACCATCCTTCAATGACGGTATCGAAGCTATCTTGGAACTTGGCCTGAGCAACATCTGTGGCCTTTTCGTATTCGTTACCAGCTTTGGAGGTTGCGGCACCAATGATCTGAGTAGCGGTGGACGAGATGGTGGCAGAGGCCTCCGAAGCCTGGCTAACCAGAGAGGCGCGGTGCTTCCTCGCCAGAGCCATGAGTTCATTGCGTCTAGATCCCTGGGGTACCTTGACACCGTGCTCATCGAGGAACTTCTTCAGATCGGAGTCGGACCAAGCCTTGAACAGGGCATCGCTCAGAGTAGCCTGCGCAGCTTCCGCGGACGCTGAGGCAGAGGCAGCGATGCTCTTCGCATTCAAACTGGCCAGTCGAGCGTTACGGCGGACCGATGCAATAAGCCTGTCGCGCGTGGTGGGCTGTGGAACCGGCCAGCCACGCTCATCAAGCCATTCCTTGAGATCAGATTCGGTCCACTGCTCATAAACCCAGTTACCAGGATAGGCGACAGCCTCTCCAAGCTTCCTGGCAATAGACTCGTAGTTTTCGCGAGCAGTTTTCAAAAGCGTATCACGCTTGCGAGGCTGGGGAGCAGGAATACCATGACGGTCCAGGAACGACTTCAACTGGGAGTCGGTCCACCTGTGTAGACTATTAGTACAATATCTTACATGAAGGACAGACTCGCAGGTCTTACGTGTCAAAGAGCCATTCCTTGGCATCATGCCAGTGATCATGAGAGTGCTGTGTAGCATGTGCCAAGGGCTTCTGGACTTTAGCTTCCCAGTTGGACTTCACAAGGGACTCTAGATCCTTGCGATCGGCCGGCGACGGGTACGGGATGTCTATAGACATTGTCAACTATGCAACAGAGAAAGATCTATACGGGAAGGGAAGCTTACCATGATCAGAAAGCCATCTTTCTAACTCGGTTTCATGCCATTTGTTGTAAACTGATGGATGTTAGCGGTTGTCTCGGCATGGGAGCAGTCAAAGCAGTCAATGGTATAGAGGTTGACGTACCAGCCTTGCTAAACCAGCTGGAAGCTCCAACCGCCTCAAAGGTTGCGAGCGCAAATACCAGATACGAAGCCAAATGAAGCTTCATCCTGGCGAGAGGTAGAGATTATATCGAGCGTTGATTGTTGTTGTTTGCTTATAGAGTCAAGGTCAGCTCTCGTTCTACCACGAACCATGCAAAGTATCAGTGAGAGCAACTTACAATTGTGAACTGTGAGATCTTAAGCAAGAGAAAGTAAGACCACAACGTCCCGGAATGAAGATATTTATTGGTCGCAGAGCTGGCGATCTCTCGTCAAAAAGAAGAATCAGGGAGGCGGCGCGGGATGAGCGTCGAGTGACGTATGACGAGGAGCAGGCCAGCTTCCCCCAATTCTGGCGTCATCGATGATAGAGTGGCCCATAGTTAGTGACCCAGCAGCAGTTGAGTAAGCTTTGCTGGCTTGCTGACTGACACCATTCACTGTCCGATCCTTTGTCCCACCGCCTGCGACCGGGGGTCTTTCGTGACTTGGTTGAGTCTGTGAACAAACAATATACATCAAGTATACTATTGATGTTTCTTGATGCAAGGCACATGATCTGCCGCTAACTCTTTAGGGCGATCGGCCCAGCCTTGCCTATTTGGGCAATGCGGAGACGGGCGATAAGGAGAACAACTGCTGAGTGATGGCTAGTCAAGGGCACTAATCTGCTAACTCATTCCTCACTCCTCCTACTTTGGCACTATCTACTCTACTCAACTAATATCTACCTGACAAGTCATCCTCATCCACTTCCTTTGCCACACAGGTCCAATCAACGCGGGTGTGTGCTGGTATGAGAATGTTGTTTTAGGATCCAATAATCCGCCGCTGTCTCGGGCCGCCTCCGCCTTTC